TCTTTGTTTTATTCCTCATTTTGAACTTATGCTAATGAGCTCCGTTGTGCTAATGAGTTTTTCCTAAAGAAAAACATCCTGAAAAATGCAACAAATAAAAAAAAAAATTTTTAATGTTCAATCCTGCTTGCTTTGCTAGATTTTTTACTGGCTCTTAAGACAAAAAGAATAAACGAAAATCATTCAGTATAATTTTATTTATATTTTATTTCAACACATGTTACACATTAACGATCAAAGCTGCATTTAGAGGCACATATTACATCGGCACTACCTGAAATGAGGTGCATTTTGAACAGTTTCTACAGCAAAATTCTAGAATACTTCTTGAAAGTCTTTATATCTATTATTTTATTTTTAGTGTATCTTAAAACTCCACGTGCTTAGATTTTATGATGATTGATTTTACTCCACGTGCTTGATATATTTATTAAAAAATTACATGCGCGTAAATTTCTTGCTTGCTTTTTCTTCTTCGAAAAATATTTCTGTTGTTAAATTAAAATTTTGCCGTAAATTATTTATGAAGTCAAATAATGGTGTTTTCAATACAAAGGTAAACAAAAATAAATCTCGATCTCCTTACCTTCACGGCTTCCAATTTTCAGCTGCTTACTGCAGCCTATTATGCTAGGAGATATTTTCAAAGAAATAATTTTTATTTTGATACAATAAATAAATAATAATTTTTGAGTTCAAATCTGCTGTATTTCATAAGATATTAAAAGAAGTATAAGAGTGAACACTAAGCTACAATGTAGAAATAAAAAAATTCGTCCTTAAATTTCATTCTAAATTTATGTGTTTCGGTGTTTAACGCATATTTTTCTCATTCGCGTTGTCTTACTTCTTGATTCTGTGTAATTCCTTAACGGATACATCAACACTTGAAAAATTAACTCAAACAAGTTAAATATGCCCATCAGAGAAATTCCAAGCCACATTCCGATGTATCCACCAATGTAACTGAATATTTCAATACTCTGCAAAATAAAAAAATATTCAAATTAGAGGAATGCTCAGTAAATGCGGGGATCATTCAAAAAGTAAGTGTCCCATAGCTTATAAGGAGAAACAAAACATACTCAAGTGAAACAATTTATCGAAGGTAAACGACAATATTTCAGTTACTTCTCAACATAAAAACACCGGAATTATAACAGTTGCTATACTGTTGGATAAGTTTTTAGAGTCAAGTTTCGCAGAACGGAGCCAAAGTGTAACAACTGTGTTCGTCTGAGGGACAGTGATACAAGGACATGGATTTTTTCATAGAGTAATAAATAGGAGGAGACGGCATGCCCGTAAACTCGTGAAGCCTTAACCGCAACCGCGGCGCCATATTGGTACAACCAAAACAAATCGAACTTCGTTGAACTAGAGCTGTACGTGTTTAAACATTCTTNACAAAATTTAAATAACTTTTTGGATTTATTTCTATTTTTAAGCTTATACGACACTTTTTAATAAATAAAAATATTTACACAGTAAAACTTAAAGCTTATGAGCACTAAATGAAAAAAAAAACAATTTCCCCCGGTTTTTTTTAATAAAATCCAGGCGGGTTGGGTTTTTTCAAACCCTGCTGAAAAGCAGCAAGTAATTATATATTTACTCTTTGTATTTTCAAAGTATTGACATTTAAATCTAGTACTTTCCAGGATTTCTATGTGCCTTAAAAAGGCTTTAGTATTCATTTTATCTTATAAAGTTCCTTAAAAGCCTTAAAATTTGTTTCATCTGAGCCTCCACCTTCCTCTACTAACGTTTCAATTGCTGCGTCAAAGCTATTATTTATTATAGAGCATTCATTATAGATAATAATGCCTGGGCATTTATTATAGAGCATTTATTTGCTCATACACTTCATGTATTTTGTGAATGAGATAGAGCATTTCATGAGTGGAGTTTAAACCTCAATTGGAAAATAAATATTCCTATATATTAAATACTCTGGGTATTTACTTAAAAAATAAATACACAGTTAATTTACGTTGCTATTTGTAAATTACAATTTTGTACACTTCATATGATCAAGTGCTTTGCAAAAAAAAAAAAAAAACAAGAAATTAAACTTCTATGCTTAGCAATAAAAGTATATTATGGACTAGTTTCATTACCCAAGTGTTTCCTCAAATGGCTTAATGTTGATTATTGCTGTTCTTTTAGCAAAAACCAATATTTTTCCCTTTAAATATTCTAACTTTAAAGAAAAGTGCGTTTCATATTATTTTGCTTATATTCAAAATAGTGTGGTTTTAATGTGATATTCTTTGAATAAATTTTTATTGGAAAGCTGCCCCCTTAAATAACAATAATATATTACTTTTAATGCCTAGATAAAATATAAAGGAACCTAAGTTCCCGAAAACTGCTGTAAAGTTCTTTTTTTAATTCAGTTGTAAAATCTTAAAACGTTATCTTTAACGTTTTGTTGTTAATACAAACTATTGTTTGTAACTTTTGTTTGTAACGTAACGTTTTGTTGTTAATACAAACTATCTTAAAACGTTATTTTTTGGGAAGAAGAAAAGAAACTAATGTTGAAAAATTGAATGAAAAAAGGTGTTATGTATTAACAACAAAACTATTTCAATCTCGCTTTCGAAATTTTCCAATCATAAGAGAAAAGATCAAAAACAACCTATCTCTTCCTCTTGAAACCTGAGCGGCTGCGCGAAGTTTCTGGTTATACCAACATGGCCGCCGCTACTTGACAGTTACTTCACTCGCTCCAATAGGGAAGGGGAGGAATGCCCACTCCTTCTTATTTATAACTCTATGGATTTTTTAGGCGCAAGAGCAAGTAGAAGGTTCAGAAAAAGTGGATGGTCAAGCAACTTCCAGATCTACTGCTGAAGTAGATTTTTTTGCGTGCATACAGCGTTGTCGTGGAGCAACCCAACATTAGCACATAAAAATCCCATGCCTCTCACTTTTCATAGTTCATTGCAAGTTATTTTGTTTTCCTAAATAAAATTTAACATTAACTACAGCATTCCTTGGTGTAAGAACAGGTGGGTCCCGCAATGGACCGATATTTCAGACACGGTTCCCATAGAACACCGATGTCAAGCATCACTGCTTGCGGTCAGTGTGCAGGTGGGTGACTACTTGGATCAGTCTACTAAAAGACAGAGGGTGGGCGGCATTGGTTCTCGTTAAACTGTTCTACCGCTCGACTTCGCATAGTTCGTCGGGCTACCGAAGCAAAATTGTGACTGTATGTATTCGGATCATCCGCAGGGATGCTTCCTAGATCGTCGTCAATTGCCCATTGTGTAGCTCTAGTGCGACATAACTAAGCTACAACAACAGCAAGAACAGGTACAAGGTTCTGGAATATTGGTTGATCAGACACCTTCCAGTTCTAATCATGTGGCATATATTGTTGTATGTATATGGCGTTGTCGTGAAGTAACATAAAATCAGCTCAGAAGAATCCCAGATCTCTCATTCTTTGTGGCTCATTGCAAAGAATTTCGCGTTTCTAAATAAAGTTCAACATTCACTGCAACATTCATTGTTAGGTATCTCCTTTTGTCTAAACTAGAATGCCATGCACATCAATTTTCCTGCAGGTATAACGTTCCAAAATTTAATTTTAAAAAAAGACCCTTAGTGATGCCAATGCATCGACTGATGCTTGCTTTTTAAAAAGAGAGTGAGTAACCAGCGTAGTATCAACATGCAAATAGCTGATTTACGCTGGCTCCATTCCCTGGATGTAGACTTCTATGACTGAGGTACATAAACTTATCCGCTGTATAAGAAGTTTTACAAATATGGTAGTCCTTAGGTTAAATAGAATCTGAAATACTGCCGTATAATACCGTATTTTTTGCTATAAATCCTTCAAGATAAGCATTTTTTTTTTCATTTTGTTCATAGCAAACTTACTTTTTAAATGACTCTCGTCATGAACGAAAACGGTATTGGTAATTGACAGCTAAATAGGTGTAAAATAAATGCAACATAATTAAATAATTTAAATTTTGCAATTTAATTATTTATTTAGTTCTCAATTTTACGAACATTTATTATCTTATATTCTTTAGAAACATAATATATTTACTTTGAACGAATAATACGATGCGAATTCGCTATGACCTAAATAAAGCGTTATGTTGAGATTTGCCTCCATTCTGGTTGTATCACATTATCATGTGATTAAGTATGAAATATGTTTCAACATAGATGTTATTGATATCTCCGTTAAATTTCGAAATTTCAATTACGAAATTTCTGACAGGGTATTGATTCAAAATACTGTTTAAGTTTTACAAACATGTGTGCGTTATTTCAAATATATTCGACGCCCATCATGATAAAAGCTAAATGAATGTTTAAAAAGTGTCATTATAGATGCAGGAAAGGGTTAGTATGTAAAACCATTTTCTGTCTCTTAGGATGAATATCTCTGTAAAACCTGAATTTTTTGTCAAAAATATTTTTTAAAAAGGTCAACTAAAACTTTAGAAATTACAAAGATGTGATCCATGCATATGGGATACTTTTGCACAAATTTAAAACTGCAATTTGTAATAACAGTTTACGCGATATACGACATGAGGTAAGAGGGCTAAATTTAGTATCATTAGAAAATATTTTCTTTCGCGCATATTTTTATGTTTTTTACCTGAAACATAAGTTTAAATATATTTAACATTTTTCCTATCTTTTGGGACATACTGTATATTAGAAATATATTATCAAGCCTGCGTGCATGCAAAATGTAACATCTCGACTTAAGTTAAAAAAATTTAAAAAAAAAAAAAGTTTTATCTAGTTTTCTTATCAATATACGCGTTTAGGCAATTATGATTCAAGTTTTTCCTATTTTGTTAATTTCAGCATGTGTAGATGATGTTAAAAATGACAAAAAATATGTTAAGGGAAAAATCATATTTCAAAATATTACGGTGTTTTTTTTTTTCTTTAACACAAGGAAAAAATCATTTTTGACTCTATCTCATATACATGATCTATCAGTTTTGTTTCTCATATCAAATATCGTCATATCCTCATCATATTAACTATAACTAGTGGGCTGCGCCCCCTTCTCTCTAACTCTCGCCAACCCCCGAAAATTGCTACGCAATCTTATATGGTTTGCTTCGCAAACCAAGCTTGCTTCGCTCGCTACTAACTTAGGTACATTGCAAATGCACTAAATTCCAAGAATTCAAAACAATCATACAAATCCATGTAATAACTTTTGTTTTAAAAAAAATTACATCTTTTTAGTAAATACTAAGTCATTAAAATAAATTTGAATTCAAATAAAGACTCATTGACTGAGACTCATTTTTCAATGAATAACTAATAACAATAATAAAACAAATAAATTCGTGATTTAAATCAAAATTCGTCAAATAAATTCGTCATATATAAATTCGTGAAAAAAGCGCTTTCGACAAAATACTAAAATAGATATCTATCGACAAAGACTACTCACTTCTACCTAGCTTAATAGTATGAGATTTGCCGCAAGTGAATTGTTATTTCAGTTTCCGTTTTTAAAAGCGCTATATGTTGAGCCACCTCAACTAGATTTGGCATGTGACATTTTTAGCGGCAATCATTGGTCGATTTTCTAGCGTTGCCATTCGAGGAGTTGTAATGAGGCTTTTTTTTGTCGCCGTGTAAGAGAAATATATATATAGATAAGCAATATCTTACATCATACTTGGGTCGATAAGTGTATTCAGTCACTTCCATTCCCTCCATTTCAATCAAAATCATTGTAAACTGACTGGAACAAAAAAAAAACAATTATTTAAAGGAAATTTTATGAGATATTGCAATTCTAATTTTTGAAAAATTAGTTTACATACGTATTTAACTGTTCGGATTGTTCCGAAAATTGTTCCTTTTGAGCTCATTAACTATGTGTAAAGTTTAAGTCGAAGAGAACGATAATAAGCAGTGCAGACTTGAAGCACAATTCGGCACGATTTTTTTGGTAATAGGGGAAGATGGACCGCCTAAGGGAACTTGGTTTAAAAAATAGTAAACTGGAGCAATTTTATATTGCAAACATATAGTGGGAACATTGTTCTTACATATCTCTTACAGAAAATAAATAAATAATGAAGTTCAATAATAATAACTTAACATAAACAAAAAGAGAACATTGTCCCATCTTGCGCGGGCTACCCGGGCAAGATGGGACACATAATTATATTTCGAAAATCTCAGAAATTAATGTCAGAATAAAAGAATAATCGACAGAAAAACGTTCCTAAAAATCACAGTTACTGCATAAGAAGCGGCCAAAACCGGAATAAGCACTGCACGCTTCATCCATTCTAAGCAATCTGAATATAGTCTGTCAATTAATTAATTATAAATTATTTTTAAAAAATTTTTAAATAATTTGTTATGTTATATGTGCTAGTTCATATTTTTTTTTTGTTAATGTTACCTTATTTTTTATGCTTTTTGCCAAATCCAGAGAGTTTAATTTTTATATTACACTTTTATTCTACTCTGGATGTCCCATCTTGCCCGGATAGTACATTTTTGAAAAAAAATTATCTGCAAATTTGTTTAAACAAATAAATTTTAATTATGCTTGTACAATAATAACACTAAAATGCCGCAAATTTGAAAAATGTATTGCAATGTATTAAACAAATAATAATAGCATACAAACCTGGAAAAATATTTTAACAAGTTAAAAGAAAAACAAAACAATGCTTGTATTTCGGTAACACCTTGTGAGCTGACGAAAAAACTTGTGCGTATTGAAAACAACAATATTTTCTTATCCAAAACGCACTTTAGATTTTGCTACCGTGATACGCATAAAAGAAAAAGCGATGTCCCGTCTTGCCCGGGTGTCCCGTTTCGCCCGATCTAGATTTAGAACAAAATCAAGAGCTGAGCATTATCGGCTAAACTTTACATTTACAAAATCACCAACTCATATAAACATTAATACTTCTATATGATTGACGTTGCTTGAAATTAGTGTGAATATTTCATTCAAAATGTTATTTTTGGGAAATGAGGATACAATTAGCGATTATCTCCCACACCGGGAAAAGTAAATTGTTTTTATTCTCCACAAACAATTACAAACCTGCCAAACCCGTCTTCACGGTATTAGTCCAATCTCTATTAGTCCTTTCATTATCAGTCCAGCGCTATTAGTTTAATGTAAGAACATTTTATGCCACAATCAAATACAACGCATTATTTTGCCAGGTTGAATTAGAGTTACTTCCATCTATCTTAGACATTTATGAAATGTGTGTAAAATTCTCTAATTGGTCGACAGCCAAAATTTACCGAAACAAAACGAAAGAAACTTTTTCATATAAACTTAACATGGAGTGATCATAGACTTATGGGAGTGATCGACAAGGTATTTTCCTCTAGCGGAATTTCATAATGTCGGGAACAATATTCTTTTCCTTTGCTTTTAAAATTATTCAAACTGTTTAAAGTATCTTTTATAGCAAATACAATGTAAAGCAAGTATTTATTTTGTGAGTTAATTAGATTTTAAAAATTATGATAGCTCTACTTGTTACTTTTATCAAGTTATTTATGTTATTATACGCCGAATAAATCGATAGTTTTTTTAGTAAAGGTTAGTTTTCTCCCTCTAAGAAATTACTCCTTGGAGAAAATTTTTCAAACTAAAAATAAATTATGTTTCTATATTCAAAGTGGTTAATTTGTACCTTAATTTGTTATACTTTGGCGTTGCATCTTGTCTTTTAGCTGGTAAAAGCATTTTTACTATTAGACATTTTCTATTACACACTAAACTATTACTAATTAAACTAGTACTAACGCAAGTAATGCACAGATTCACCTTCTCTATGGCTCAAGCAAGTAATGCGCTCTACGCCGTACGCTTTAAGACTTGCGCAAATAATAAGCTCTGCGCTCACCCAAGTAATGCGAACTAAATTTTTGTTTTAGGTCTAATAGAAATAAAATTATTTCCCTTTTTTGTGCAAAATTTTATCTTATTTCATTAAAACTCTTAATATAAGTTGCTAAAAATTGCTTTTCGCACAAAGTAAAGTTTTCACTTTTTTTCGCATTAAGTGCGATTATTATATAATTTTAATATGGTCAAGTGAATGAGCTCGTTAAAATATGCATGCAAATTGGTAGAAAATACTTGCAAGCCTTATTATGAGTCACTTAAAAAAATTGATAAAATTAAAGATCTATAAAATAAGTAATTACGTAACAATGGGCATTACATCACTGACCTGATCCTGTAGATTGGAACTTATTATAAATATGCTGTTTCTGATGCGTTTATCGAAACTGTAAGGCATAAGCTGTTGCCATTTTCTGTTTGATTTTAAGTAATTTAAATGAAGTTAAACGCAGGGAAGGGGGCCTAGCAGGTCTCTCGGTCTTCTTGGAACGCGTTTAATGTTCTAATATACCCTGAACGGGTGGAGTTGCAAAGCTATATTATGTAATATGTCACAGTAAAAAAGACGAAAAATAAGGCCCCATTGAAGCCATATTTAGAAAGTAAAAAAACGGAACTCTTGGAATAGGGTGTATCTATTCTTCAAAAGTATATTTTTGTGTGATTTTCTAACCTAAAATATTCCTTACAGAAATTTAAGGTATTTTTAAGGTTGTTTAAAGGTTAATTTAAGGTTTATTTGATGTTAATTTTAAAAACAACCATAAAAGATCAACCTCCAAATTTTTATAACCAAGGTGTATGAAGTTGTTTTATTCTTACTTGAGGTTATTTTGAGGTTGATGGAAAACTACTTTAAAGCAACCCAGTTTAAGGAAATTGTTTTTGAGGTGTACGGATTATTTTTTCTACACTGTAAGCAAATATGTTTATTTGAGGTGTGAATAATTTCACCCCATCTAAACTAAATTACTTCTGAGTTATACATGATGTTGATTTTGTGAGGTGTAAATAAGGTTGAAATTGAGGTTTATTAATGAGGTTATGTTTGGTGCAAAACATAATCTCTCTTTCTACCTGCAGTGTATTTTTTTACGTCTGTTAACCTCAAAACAACCTCAAAAGCACCTTTTTTTTGTAAGGGACCATCTGTGCTAATTAGTTAGTTCACTTAAATTTATCTTTCCGAACAATAAGTATTTCCTATTATCCAATCTATAGATATGTTTAAAATTATTTAAGTTTTTTCATTGTTATCATTCATTTACGTGCTTAATCTAAATATGTAATTTAAATACTTACAAAGCAGGCTTCTTGGTACTACATCCAAGCTGAAACAAAAATATATAAGTATATAATATTTTATCAAGCACATTTTATCAATTATGTTTTCATTTTTTGAAAAGTAATATGAATGTGTAAAGTAGTTTTAGAGTTTACCACTTGTATCGAAACGCCTGAATCTCTTGTTACTTCATAAGATTCCTCACTGAAAATGAACAAAAACCTTGTCAATAATAGACGAATACTGTAATTTTGATTCAGTAGAACAAGCATATCTGAATTGTTAAAGTGTGATTGAAGCTGTTGTCATACTCAAGACCTTTACTCTATAGATCAGGAGAAAATTTTCATCACAAATTCTGTTTTATGTCCATTGGTATTTTAAAGTTTAGAGAAAGTAAATTCTGGTAAGCCTAGATCAAGTCATAAAGTTTTTCAAATGCTATAAAAATATTTTTAAAATATCAAAATGCAACCAAATTATTCGAGAACTTTCCCTCAGTGTAATTCTAAGTAATCCTCACATAATTTGTTTGCACTTTAATATTTTGAAATTTTTGTTTACATCAACTATTCAAATTAAACTTAGCAAAGTTTACTCTAGTTTTACATGAATTCAATTTCTTTATACTTTAAACCCTAAATTACTAATTTAAATCCTAAATTCTAAATTACTGAAGTTGAAAAAGAATTTGCCGTGAAGGATATCTCACATGGTATCAGGGCTAAAGAGAATAGAAGGGCTAGTTCATTCCGCTCTTAGAGCTGAAGCTACGATTTCTCTCCTCATGACGTCACTGTATGCACAGATCTCGGAGATCGCTAGTAAAGATATTATGATAACTTTGCATCGTTCTCTCTCTAAAAATAAGTTAGACTTTTTCTGGCTATTAGATTTCAAACTTTACATAACTAACACATTATTTCCGTTCATAAACATAATCCAAAAAAATGGCCATTATATTAAAAAAATACCATTTCAAACTTATAAAAATGTTTTACTAGTTGGCGAAAATGACACTATCACTTTTTTATAAACATAATCTTTGATAACTATAAGTTGGGTTAAATTTAGAATCCTGATTTTAAAATATGCCGCTAATAGCAATTTGTTCATGCTTAATCATTAGGAAACATCAACCTTAAACGCTAATTACTGAAACAAAATAATAATTTAGGTTCATAATGATATTTGAAATTTTAGAATTGCTTATAGATATTTAAATTTAAGATTATATCATTTATAGATATTTAATTTTAAGAGAATATAATTGAAAAAAATCTTAAATATTTAGAATAACTACATTAAGAAATATATTATGAAATTAGGAGAATTTTAACTGTATACTATATATTTTATTTATACTTTTTATTTACGCTTTAATTTTCTTTGACTTTATCCATTTTTTATTTTTTCGCCTGCCTTTCTTTTTGAAGTAACGAGGCGGTTTCTATTTAGATGGCGAATTTTTATAAAAGTTCTTAACGATAGAATAAACGTATTGCTGTTTTATATTAACTGTGTAATTTTGTTTGCAATTAGTTGAATCCATTCTTTACATAGTTGTTCATTTACTTTAGGGAACACGTGGGAGATTATATTTTTTCCCTTTGTGTTTCTATCAGAATTTTTGCAAATTGCAATCGCGCAAACTGGCATTTCATTAATAGTTTTAAATTTTTTTAAATTCACTGCAATAAACTGAGGAAAATCATTTTATAAAACAATAAATGTCTTGGAATATGTCACAAAAAGGAATGCTCCAATATTAGTTAGAGCTAGTTAGACCGAAAGCTCCGTTCTTGAAGTAAAAGTGCAAGCTTCATGCCACAGAGACGTCACTGGAGAAAATCGGAGGTTTGGCGCGGCGAGAGCTACTTCAAAGGAGTGAGCCAGCCCTTCTATTCTCTTTAGCTATGACATGGTATATAGCTTCCTCTTAAAGATCGTTCAACCTGTACTAAAACAAAACAAGAACGGGTAAATTTTCTTTCACTTTTTTACATATGCAAGTGTTTAAATGTGAACTAATAAAACTTTTCAATTTAATTTTTGTTTTAAGTAAACTTTTATTTTTAATGGAAAATTTTGTTTAGCACTTTCCTATTTGTATTTTTTTGGTGGAATATTTTCATTCAAATGAAAATTCATATAAAATATGGACAGGGAAATTGGGAATCTGATTGTTACAATGTTCAGGGGATGGAGTGTTTGCATTCCAATGAGATGAAAAGAGTTCGAATCAAATCGATGGCTGGTCGATACGAATTCCACTTCCGGCTTGCACCGACCACAGTGCTGAGATAAAATATTCTCAGTGGTAGACGGATCATAGGTTAGAGACCCCTTGCCATCAGGCTAACTGTGGGAGTTTTACGTGGTTTTCCTCTCCATGTAGCGCAAATGCTTATTAGTTCCATTAAAAAATCCTTCACGAAGGCAAAATTTCTGAAAATATTTGATCCTGAACTTCCCTTGACTTCTGAATTGGGTTCAAAATTACAAGACTACGAAGGTCGGCTGTTCATGTATGGTTATAAAAAAAACTTATTTTATTTATAAATGTGTCATATAACTAGTAGAACAAGTCTGCTACATTTTACCACTCAGATTCTCAATTTTTTATGCATATTATAGTTGAATTTTTGCTTCAATATATAAGTTCCAACCTAAAATACAATCAGCAAAGTGTTAGAGAATTATTTTCTTTCAAAAGTTGCTCCTCATTTTTTTCCTTTTACGATTTATAAAAAAATGACCAACTATAAACATTGAAACTTTTATTTAATGCTACTTTCTTCCATTTTCATTTATTCGTTCGATCTAAACGATAAATACGCAAATACCTTACTGCGATTAATTTGAGATATGATGGGCCACCCCGAATAACTTTTGATCTAAAGATCGGATCGCCACGCTCTAGGACTCAATTTTAAGAACTCAAGTAGCGACTTGAAATATGCTGACTAATAAGTTCAGACGATATTATTCAAAAAGTCAGAAATTTAAAATTCGATTTCTCCCGAATTTGCTCAAGTTTTGCATTTTTCCATGCAAAATCATGTTCTTTAAGCAAATGCAAACAATTGTGCAACTTACCGTTCAAAATTTTTTCGACCATTATTAAGTAAAATAATAAAATAATAAAAAAAACATGTGCTAAAAGTTATTTTTTGCTTGGAATAATTTATTTTATAAACGAATTTTATAACCGTGATCGCAAATTTTTCAATTCACTTAAAATGTTCTTGAGATAAAACGAAATACGCAAAAAGTAAAATTGACATTAGGGGTTCAAACTTTGGAGTACTCTCCTGACCAAACTATTGGGATTATATTTCCAGATTGTGGCTATTCCTATATTTTGTGGGTCAGAAATCCGAATTCATCGGAAAAAATCCTGTTTATACGTAAAAAGTACCTTTTTGTTTCTTATTTCATAATTTAAAATATTGTCTGCACTTATTAATTAATATATTTGAGGTCACTCCTTCGAACTATTAAGATTGAGGCTTAGAACGCGAAGATCCGATCATTAAATCAAAAATTATTCAGCGTGGTCCATTTAATTTATTTTTTTCGCATGGTACTTAGAATCTATAAAATAAGTTAAAAATGCAACAACAAAAAAATTTTAAAAAAAAAAATTTAAAAAAAAAAACAAATTAATAATAATAATAATAATTTTTAAAGAGAAGGAGAGAAATTATTAACAAATAAAATGTTCTAAAAAATATTAAAAAATTTTAAAAAGTTTGAAAAATAAGAAAAAAAACTAAAAATTAAAAAGCCCGAAAGCAAATAAGGAAAAGATGTAATCTCGTCATCAACCTCCACTGATAATAATGATTCAGGATTTTAAATCTTTTTCTCATGGCGTTACTGACAAGCTCTCATTTGAAAATATTTGAAAGTGAAAACGTAGCTTAATTTAGGATTTGAAAACCCTGAGTGTCCCAAACAGACTCCGTCCTATCCAAAAAAATACTCTAATACGCTACAATTATACTATAATAACGCAAATGTACGGAACTTTACCATTTAGCTTTAAAAGCAGGTCTTGTCTATAAAAATATACGGTAAATGAACGTTAAATTACATATTTATGACAGTTTAAATTTTGTTTAAATTCTACTTACTAGCAAGCAGGTCTACAATTTTTCATTTTACAATCATTAATTTTTCTTGCCATTTCTGAGGTTACTATCTCTAAAAAAGATATTAGTTTAGAATTAATCCACACATAGAAAAAAATTTATTGACACTTAAGATTGCTAAAGAAAACTCTTATAAGAGCAATTTGTACTATGCTGGAAATTTTTTCAGGTCAATGGGTTCATAGATCTAGTCTGATTTCGTCAGGTCAGTTGAGGATAAGCAGCAACAACAATATATATGAAACTGAAAACAATGCTTTACATATTTACAAGTTCATGCATAAATTAATATGAATTGCTTAGATATCTGCAATTATATAATGTTCATAGCTCTATATTAAAGATTAACATTATAGATTTATATTCTGTTAATGAACTTATTTTAAAATTTTCTGAAACCACTATCTGATTTTTTAAACAAAAGCGCAGCAAATATATTTCTGTCTTCTTCCAATTTCCTTTAATTGATTTTTAAAGTCGTCAGTAATTTTTAAAATGCCCAGTAATTTTAATTGTTTGGAATATGATATCTTAAATTCTGCTCATAATATTCCAAACAATTTTACACATAATTTCTTGAGTGAAATTCGCATTTTCTCAATCTATCAAATAAAAGCAAACTCACTACTAGCGTCACATCTTCTTTCATTTCCAGATAACATGCTATACATTTGACATATACATCCATATTCATTCAAGCTGATGCTTTTTTGACATTCTTGAATGCATTCCTGCATAAAATATTTTAAACATACAATTACTCGAATTAAATTATAGTAATAAAAGTTTTTCTATATGATATCACAAAACTGAAGTGCTAACAATTTTTTACAATTTCAGAATTTAATCATGGACATTTAGGCTTCTTTTATTTATTAGCATAATTATCGCTAGATATAATGTATTTACTTATGTATAGCTTAGAATACATTAATTTAAATTTACTAAGAGACAAGCTGAATGCCTATAGTCTGTTTGGAATAAAAAGGAAAATAAATCATTAATAAACTACCACTACCTATATGTTCAAAAAACCGAGAGGCACATACTAACATAATATAAAATGTTACCTTTCTCTGAGACTATACGTTATTAGACTAATTAAAACGCGTTTTTAGAAATTCTACTCAAAAAAATAAAAATTAACTACACTTCGTATTTTTTTGGCACCGAAAGTGGTGTTGCTGAACATTGAAAGTAGTCAACGCATAATAATTTATATTTACCACAATCAGGCAATTTTTCGACGATTTTCAATTTTAGTAAAATTTTTTTATTTCAATTATCATTGACTTTAAATTATTATGCTCACAAAGACACATTCCGAAATCGTAACTATAAACAGAATAAACTTGTGGTTTCGGATAGTTTTTTAACTAACTTTGTGACGTCTGGTCGCATACATTTTGATTGAGCTTGCCTGCCTGATATATTGAATTAAAAAAATAAATAATCAGTGATATATGAGTTTTGAAAACGGTTTTGTAAAACTTGTTTTTGATGAAATAGAGCTATAAGCTAGCAAATAACATTCATGTTATCTTTAAAACAATTAATGAAACGGAATCACTAACAGTTTAACTTGGAACACTGCGCAATGCAAAACCATTGCAAGGAAATCGTTTTCATGATCCCTTTTAAAGAAAATTATTAAAAAAATCGATTATTAAGATCGCAGTCTTAAATTACCTATAGAGGATTCAGAATTCTTGCAGTAACTGTTCTATAGTTAAAAAAGAGACACACAGACATACTCACACACTTTTCCTATTAATATTATACACAAGGATATTCAAGTCATGGAGAAAACAAGCCAATTTAGTGGAGTTTTTTCAGCGAAACAGTAAAATAGATCAAAATTCGGGGAGCACTCTTTCATTGTACAACTTGTAAATTGTAAAAATTATTCATTCTAGAATAATGTTCTATTTAGTAAGAATTTTAACATTATTTTGCCACACACAAAATAAATGTGATATTAACCGAAGATTTTTGAAGAATATCTTCGAGGAAGAAAGAATCACTGAAAAAGAAGAATCTCTTAACAAGAAGAGTCTCTTAAGAGAAGAATCTCTTAACAAGGATCAGATGTCGTACAGAAATTGTTATAATTTCTGTATACTTGTATATTTGTTGACATAATTAATTTGCTTTTTTAACCGTACTCTACAAGTTTATGTTAAATCTAACCACCCCACCTATTAAGAAGACTTGTTACAAATTCTGATTTCAGTTTTTTTTATTAAATGACTATTTTAAACGTACGCTACAAGCTTCCAAAATTTTATTGATTAGTTACAGAGTGACAATTCTTCAACTGTATGAAATAAAACGTAAAATATTTAAAAACTGCTGAGTGCGAAAGTTTTATTCAACCTGTAAATGTCACTAAGATATGTTATTTTATGACCGTCATTGAAAAGCTGACCCAATTTTTATGAGTTACTACCAATTCTCAACTACGTAGTCATGTAATTTTGAATTCAATCCAGAAGACAAGGGAACTCCAGGATCAAGCATAGGGAGAAAATCGCCTTAGTGGAGAACTTATTGATGGAACTAACCCGCATTTGCGCTGCATGAAGAGGAAAAAAACGCAAACCTCCCACGGTTAGCCTGATGGTAAAGGGGCTCTAACCCATGATCTATCTACCACTGAAGGTATTTTAAATCAGCTGTGGTGGGTGCTAGCAGGGTGCGTAATAGGTATCGACCAACCATCCCTGGAATTTGAACCTGAGTCAACTCAGTAGGAGGCGAGTGCTCTATTCCCTGAGACGCCACTGCTCTCACTTAAGATATTCGAATTTAGGTTATGATATGTTCCATGTGCCTCATCATAGCCATCATTGGCTATGATGTAGCGCAGACGAATAGCAAAATTCTGCATGCTGTTGATGCTGTCGATGGCCTCCTGAATGACAGTTTTTAACTCAGCAATGTTTTTGTGGTTATTTCTGCACACATTGCTTTTAATATAGCCCCACAAAAATGAGTATCATGTGCTCAGATCAGGAGAATATGGCAGCCAAGTGAAACATTCCATGGGTCTTCCGCAACCCAGAGCCAGAATGCGGTCCCCAAAGTACTCCTGCAGGACATTTTCACTTGCAAATGGCTGACAACAACAAGTTGCGTGCACGTCCGCATACTAGTTCCCGTCTCACCTAACAACCAATCACGAAGTTTGAACTTCATCACACAAAACGTTTAAGAGTTATGATGGTTTCATTTCATATAGTTCAATAATTGTCACCCAGCATCAATTGCGTTTGTACTTATCTGTTATTTATGTCTTCATGACAAAAGATGTTTAGAGTGGATAATAAATGTACGGAAATATAAACTGGAATGCTTTGAATTTTTTTGGCGTCATTCTGCGATGTAAAACACTAAACTTAAGGGAAACATTTAATTTCTGAAGTTCTTTCCCAGTGAAAATTTTTTAGATATTATTTTTTAGATTATTGTTGGAAAAAGGTGGATATTGAATTTTCAGTATAATAAGAAAGGACATATATTTTCATATTGACTTAACGTCTGTTACTTGCCTTTTTATTTGTTGGTCCAAAACTTCCTCTAGATTTCCATTGTTGTAAATAATCTATGCAGTTCGTGTCATATGGATGAGGAAGAAGTTTTTTTATAACCTGAAAATTAAATTTTAAAACGATATATTCAAACACGAAAAATCCTAAATTATTAACATCAATATAATTTAACGAAAATGGGCAGATGCAAAGTCTCCAAAGATTGATTTATTTCACACAAGAAATCGTATCATTTTACTAAGAAAGTTAGTTCTTTTGAATCTTTCTTGGTTGAATCTTTCTTGAGGCATTTTTTATATCTAAATATGTCACTTGTTAACAGTGTTTACAATACACTATGCGGAGATGAAGTTGATATTTTATGTTATTTCATTTAATCAAATGTATGGAATATTTGTAGCTATTATTACAGGTTTAAGAGACCCTTTTTTATTAATAATTTTTTGTTTGACTATCTTTATATCGGACTTTATAAAAAAAACTTTATCCTTAGAAAAAACAATTAGAGCATGATTTTTAGTTAAAATATCAAAGATTTTTTTTAAAATTGCAAATAACGTTAAACAAAGTGTGTTTTGCGCAGCTCTTAATCATAGTATTTCGGAAAATGCCTTCTTTTAAGAAAGGGATATACGGCAAGTACGGCTTCCATCAGCATTTCCAGCCATATATTTTGAATAACATTTTTTAATTTGCTCAAATTTGTGACTTTATAATTATTGAATTGGGAGAGCATATACAAAAGGTCAAAGGGTCTCAGTTCGGGGGAATTGGAAGGCCACTCCTCCTTCGACAAAAAGTCAAATAAATATTTGCTGCACCTCTCCAGAACCACACGTCTGGTATGAAAAGGAGTATCATCTTGTTGGAAGCTGAAATATTCCACCCCATACATACTCTGGATACTTGGGAATATTTCCAAAACCTCAGTTTTACAATATTGGAAATTGTTTTTTTGCTCCCTTTGCAACGAAAACTAACGGAAGTTTGCCTCTTGATGAAATAGCTCTCCAAATCGTCCCAGGCGAAGAATTTTAATAAAGCATAACATAATGCTGGCCCTCAGATATGTTTTCTAAGAGATATAAACGATATTTTATTATTTTTGGGAGAGAGACTTTGTTGTAAAACAAATAGGTTCTCGTCTGAAGAGACAAACTCATCCTTAGCGAGCCCTGCAAGAATTTTTTCCATCCTCTGCTTCTTTTTCAGCTTAGCTGACTCTGAAAGTCTATGAATCTTGCTCTTTCTAAAAGCTTTGCACCCTAGGCTCTATCTCAGAATGCTTAACATTGATTCTTTCAATATTTTGAGCTCTCAGGCTAGCTTTCTAGTAGACTTTCGTCCGTTTCGTCGTATCTTTTCCCTGATCCTTATCAATGTATCTTTTGACCTTGTTCTGAGAGAATTTCTTTTGTCATCGACTAAGGACATCTCATTAAACCTTCTGATAATTCTGTAAATTAAATCTCTCTTCAGCCCCAGGATTTTCAAGTCTCTGAAAATTTTGTCCAGCTGCTCTGCTTTGATGAATTTATTCATCACAATTTCTCTAACTTTATTCATTCGTAGTAAGTTTAAAAAAAAACGTATAAGCTTGCAGTAGCATACATGTTTTTCTATCTAACATATAAGGAAGCTTACATTTGGACGGAATCTTACACTAAATTGTCTGAAAAGAATTGGAACTACAGTAATACTTAAGAATTTTTAAACGTGTTTTAAAAGTTATATAAGAACATTCTGGTCACGTCGTGTATATATATATATACACATAGTATTACCGCTTGTATATATATATATATATATATATTAAGAAAAAAGTTTGAGAGAAAATCTGGATCGAAGGATCAAAGTCAGCTATATCTTTACTTTTTTGTTAAAGATCAATTTGCATTTAATATGCTTGTAAGTTTGTTTGTTAGCAGAGTGGAATGAAAATCCATCAGTTTATTTGTGAAAATGAAGTGAAGTTGATTAAAAATGTATCGAACATCATTTCCTATTCGTCCGCTTCCCGCTCAGGGTTAAGTTTGTTCGCGAGAAAAGATGCTCCCAACGATCGGAAAATGCCCTCTATGACGCTTCTGTTAAATCTACAATCTTTATAGATATTTCTTATTCCATTTTATCTTCCTTTATATACCATAACAAGCTATCATTGGACAAGATCAGTAACGAAGTGCCAGAGGAATGCGTACCGAATCGTTAAAGCGGATAATACAATTGTCCTTTCCTTTTGAGAACTATTACAGTTTAGTCAGTTTCAATCTTCCTCTTTTGCTTTAAACATAAGATTTTTTCTTGATTTGTTTCGAACGTAAAAAAACCGGATTCTTTTTAAAAATTTTAATAATAAATATTTGTTTTAGAATATTTTCTAACGCTGTAATTTTTTATTGTTGTAACTTTTCATTGAAATTAAAACTTATATAAAATAAAAATTGAAAACTGAGAATCTAAACTTTGAAAATCATGAACGGAATATTATTATTTGTTAAGATGTTTTTTTATTTCGATTTCTGTTATAATAATTTTTAATTGCTTAAAACATCGATTAAAATAATTATTAATGCATGAAATATTATGTCATGTGGAAACTATATACCGGATTGATCGAGAAGTTGGCAAATAAATTTTGAAGGCAAAAAACAATATGAATAATCACAATTTAAAATACATAAATTGGCAAACTATAGTTTAAGTTCTATTAACAAGAACCTTTCTCAGTGTCTAAACGTCAAATGTNATATTTAAGACATTTTCTAGCAAAGGCGGAGCTCAAAATCGCACTCAAAAACTGTGTGCTTAAGTTTTTATCTTAGGGAAAGTAGCAAAGGAATTTCCCTCTATTTTGTTATATTTGAGGGGAAAAGGGAAGTGATAAGGATTACTATTGGTTTATGAAAGAAATCTAGCGTTTCCCACACAGAGCATAGGGAGATATGTCCTGCTCTTAATTAAATGCATAGTTGAGCCAAAAATAGATTTAAGAACAGGATGTGGCTTTTAAAAGTGTGAGAAAGAATTTGGAATAGAATAATTAATTAGGAATAAAGTAGGAGTTGTTTTATAGCAAAGAAACTAACATAAAAAGATTAATAGAAGCTTTTAATGTTACATCCCCCCTCGCCGAAAAATTTTATCTTACATCAATAAATTTTAAAAATTATCCCTTTGCAAAACTTTCCTAATGATGACACAATTAAAAAAATTAATACTAATATTTGTAATATCAACAAGATATAAAGTAACATGAATTATAAAAAAAAACACATTTGCACACTATGTAAAAAAAAGTTTCATACAGAGTTAGAAGAAGAAAAAAAAATTTGAAGTAGCGCTACTATCGAAATGAAGTGTTAGATCTCCATTTTCAAAAATTTTTCGTGATTAAGTTTTTCCAGTCCTTCTTTATAATCACAGTAAATAAAGTTATTCCTCATACTAACACAATTAAAATAAACTTTTCACTTAAGACAAGAAAATCTATAAAAATTTCCTAAAAGATGTAAATATTCATATTCAATAACAAGAAAGATACAAAAATATGAAAATGCAAGTGATATGAGATATAAAAATACAAATTGACACTTTTTATCAAAAAAATTTTCAATATAAAATGTAAAAAAATTTTGACACAATGGTCTTTAATCTGAAGTTTAAGACTTCAGTATTTTTATTTCAATGAGAGAATAAAAAGTTTAACACTTGGTCTTTAATCTGAAGTTTAAGACTTCAGTGTTATTAGGGGAAATTGTTTTGTTGGATTAGGGGTTGTATTCCCCAAAAGGAGGAAAACAGTCCCTATTCTCAACAATAATGTGCTGGAAGATCCTAGATTCAACAAGGTGCATAAATATTTATTTTTTGGTTTTCACCAGAGACAAAACTACCATCGCCTCATATCCTACTAGATTTGGGTAAACGTTGAACTTGAAGAAAATTTAAAAGTCGGATCTTCCAGAAAAAAGGGGACCACATGTTCCATTGAACCATGTGAATTAATGTCATATTTGGTATTTATAATTTTATTTTAACAAAGAAAAATTATTGAATTTAATATAAAGTATAGTCAATTCCATTTAAGTAATTACATGTTTTTTATTCGTGACATAATTTCAGTTTGTGAGGTGGGTGGTACCTTCGCAATTTTGATATATGAACTATTTCTGTATTTTCTTTATTATGAATATTCTTTTTATTTATTTTATAATTAACATCAGAAATTTTTTCAAGAATTATATATGGACCGGAAAAAGTTGGGGTAAGTTTCCTAGTATTGGGGTATTTAAAATCTTCATACATTACAGTATCATTAGGGGAAAATTCAATATGAGTAAATCTTGCATCATAATAAATTTTATTTTTCTCATGATATTGTTTAGTTCTTTCAACTGCAATTTTTCTTGCTTCTTCTACTGGTGGAGATAAATTTCTTCGGATAAAGGATGATTAAATGAACTGTGCCAAACATTAAAAAAGCTGGTGGGAATTTAGTTACTGAATGTGGAGTTAAATTGTATTCTTCGGTTACTTCTTTTAATAATTTAGGCCAAGGAACTTTTTTAGAAGAATCATTAATTTTGCATTTTAATCGTGTTACAATGGTTTGTCCTAAAAGTTCAACTTTTCCATTAGTTTCGGGTCTATGGGCTGTAGTTAACAATTGTTTGATTTTGCTATGTTTAAGAAATTTTTTAAAGTGGGAAGAAGTAAACGCGGCATTTCTATCACTCAAAATACTTTTAGGGGTTTGAATTTGAAAAATTTGTTGCAAAAAATTTACATAGGTTTCCGTAGTTATTGATTTCGAAGCAAAAGACTACATATATCGAGTGTGATGATCAATTACTAAAGTTAAATATTTTTTGGTAGAATTATAATAATTAAAACCACCTACACTATCGATTGCAATTATTTCAAAAGGTTTGTCAACTGGGGGCATTTCCTGTAGTAATCCAAATCTTTTTTGTCTAGGTTTTTTATTAATTTGACACGTATGACAATGTTTGTTAAAATTTAAAATGTCCAAAGTAATATTTTCCCAATAGTAAACAGGAGTAAGCAAATTAATAGTTTTTTGAATTCCCGGATGGCCAAATTTTTTATGAGTAATTTCAAGTAATTTATGCCTTAAAGAAAATGGAACAACAATTTTGGTAAAACCCTTTTTACATAAACACAAAACATTATCTATTTTACTAAAATTTCCAGTTAAATTATCATTTTGTTGGGCTTCGCGAATTTCATCCAATTGCAAAAGATGAGAAAAATGGCTTACATTATTTAAATCAACATTTGTTTTTAAAATACTATTGTTTTCAATATTGTCAGGAATATCTCGGGATAGCATGTCAGCTTCAAAGTTTAAGGTGCCTTTTGTGTATTTTATATCATAATCATACATACTTAATAGTAAAGACCATCGGAACAATCTACCTTTCAGATTTTTAACATTTTTTAACCAAACTAAAGCCGCATGATCTGTATGTATGGTAAATTTATTTCCAAATAAATAGTGATAAAATTTGTTTAATGCATCAACAATAGCAAGACATTCCAGTTCTGTGATAGCATAATTTTTCTCATAGTCTCTAAGAGAACGAGAATGGAATGCTATTGGATGTAAGACACCTGAAACATCTGGCTGTTTCAAAATTGCTCCAACACCACTTTGACTTGCATCAACAAAAATATGACATGGTAATTTAGGGTTAAATATTTTCAAAATTGGTTTACAAACTAAAGCATTCTTTAAAATTTCGAATGCTTCTTGACATTTGGGAGTCCAACACCAGGTTGTATTTTTCTTTAAGAGATTATTTAAAGGTGCTCTAATTTTAGCATAATTATTTATAAATTTATTATACACATTTATTGAACCTAAAAATCGTTGAAGAGATTTAACATTAGTTGGAGGTTTCAAGTTTTTAATTGCTTCAATGTTGTTGTTATCAGGAGTTACTACACCATGAGATATTTCATAACCCAAAAATTGAATTTTAGTTTGCAAAAAAGAACATTTAGAAGCTTTTAATTTTAAATTTTCAAATCTACATATTTCAAAAATTTCCTTTAGATGATTTAAATGTTCTTCAAAACTATTAGAATAAATTATGATATCATCAAAATAATTAGCTGCAAATGAAACTTTATGTTTAGTGAGTATTCTACGTATTGTTCTTTGAAAAATACTAGGGGCGTTCTTCCACCCAAATGGCAATCTTAACCATTCGTATAACCCACTATTGGTGACAAAAGCAAGTTTTTCAGTGTCCTCAGGGTTGATTGGAATTTGCCAATAACCACTTACCATATCTAGCCTACTAAAATAAACACTGTTCCCTAATTTATCTATAAGAGTTTCTATAAGAGGTAATGGTTCTGCATCCGATTTAGTAATTTGATTTAATTTTCTGAAGTCTATACACAATCTACTTTTTTTATTTTCATCTTTTTTATAAGCTAGAGTTACTGGAGCAGAATAGGGAGAAGAGCTTTCTTTAATTATATTATGCTTTAACAATTCTTCAATTTGTTTATCTATTTCCTCTTGTTGTTTTGGGGAAGTTTTGTATGCTCGTAAGGATACTGGTAAGTCTGATGTTAATCTTACCCTTTGAGGTTCAATTCTTATTGTCCCTACATCATATTTATCTTTAGCAAAAATATCTGAAAAATCTTCTAAAATTTCCTGAAGTTGGGAATTTTTTTCATCATCTTGAATTTGCACAATTCCGTCAACATGATTATGACAATGTTGTACACCATTGCCACATTCAGTCTCGTGAACACTTGAAAATTCAAGATTATTTTCAGTTTTGCTATTTAAATCTTTATTTTTAAGTCTACTTTTTGTTTTATTTTTCTATTATATTATTCTATTCATATTTATCATATTTTTTCTATTCATATATATATGAAAGAAAATTACATTACCTTTTTCAAGCGGAGCGTCTCATGTGCACCATCTTGTACAGAGAAACCTTCGTAAAAAGGATTGACAATTTGTCGTGGATCATGAATTGCCATTTGGGCATATACAGGACTCAGAAAGTCTGGAGTCTCGACACTATTCGGCACATACATCATGACGTATTCTTAAAGTATTAATACATTTTTATATTTCACACATTTGCAAAGATTTCTATTTTAGTACCTTAATGAATATTTGTGTAAACTTTAGTTTGTAAGCTAACTATGTTTTATTCGGCATTGTAATACTTTAGTTATGTTTTATTCCTAATTTTTTTATTGAAAATAGGAGTTATCTTTTTTTTTAAAAAAATCCCTTTTTAAGTATTAATTTTAACCATTTTTATTACTAATTCTTCACCCTATATTTTCCAAAGAAATTTGCGAAAGCATATAATTATTTCAGTTCCAATATTTCAGTTCCAATATTTCAGTTCCATTATTTCAGTTCCAAATTACAAATAAATCACTTTCAACTGTTTCTGGCAAGTCGATCTTCATTTTAATCTTTATACTTAAATAATATTAAATGTTGAGTGATGCTATATTTGGCCACTCTTAGAACCACATATATTTCGCAAGTAAGACCTATTTTGAAATACGATTACCCAATTTACTTCTGCGCGTCTGAAACGAACCTTCAGAAATTGAAACGTGTACTACGAGGTGCCGCTCGAATTATTTTAGGATTTAGAAACAGCTGCCCTTCCACTATAGCCCTGTATAATTTAGTTTGTAGTTATTTACCCTTTGGCCAGACGGTCAAGCTATGTAAAATTAGCGTGGCATTCAACGTGTAAAAGATGTAGAAAATCATTTTTTTAAAAAGTAGCTATTTAATGTTTTTTAGTTAATTTATTAATGGTTGAAAACATTTCCAATTGGAAGGTAAATAAATTTTACACCAATTTAATCTACATAATTTCAAATAACAACATTTACATAGCTTTAAATCGGCAAGAGGTCGAATAGTTCCAGAGAAATGACTTACAACCACTATATATATATTAGAAGAAGAGCCAATCTATATAAGTACTTCAATAGGATCTACAGCTACGGTCCACAATATCGCACTTCTCTGTATTTGCACACTTAGCAAAACAATCGAAGACTAAAGAAATACGGCCCCTTTAGCTTGGCAGAAACTCAAAACCTAATCTCTCGTAAGGTTGAACTTGTATCTTTGAGATCTTGTATTGATCCCTCAGAGGGACTGCCAAGAGTTTTCGTTCACTTTGATTTGAATTCCTCTGCAAACAAGCAAACTCGCCTTGAAGACCATCTAAGACAGATGGCTCTGGAAATCATTTGTTGTATTCCTAAAAATGCTGTGCAGGTCTCTTCTGATGGTAGTCATATCGAAGATCGTACTGGAAGCGGTATTTACACTAGAACACCTCTCTTTGAGACTCACACTTAACCAACTCAAATCTGTCGTTAAGAATGAGCTTATTGCGATCAATGTATGGCTGGATGCCATATTGTCTTATGAAAGTGGTTCTAGTGACTTATGAATTTTATCGGATAGCCCTTGCTCTCTGCAACATCTAAATGGCTGGCTCTCTGCAAGTGATGAAGCCAGAGTTTCTATTCTACACAAGGTAAGAACAATCTCTAAGAATCCCGATGACCGCCTTCAAGGAATCCCCATTATAGATTTAAAAAAATTTTGAAAATTATATTTCGGATAAGCCGACCAGGTGGCCGAGTGATTAGCGTGCCTGACTTCGAGCCGGTGGCTGCGGGTTCGAATCCCGCTCAGGGCATGGATTTTTCTTTCTTTCTCTCTCTCTCTCTCTCTCTGTGTGTGTGTGTGTGTGTGTGTGTGTGTGTGTGTGTGTGTGTGTGTTCTATGTCCTTTCTTCTGTGTGATTGTGTGAATGTAACCCGCCCTATAAACGGGTTTGTGGTTGTATGACGTGGGCGACGCTACTCCACCACCGTGGCTCAGACATAGGTGCTCACTGGGTAACGATAAGAGAGTAGCAATTCAGGCATTTCTGAGGACAATGGGAAATACACCCAAGTGCCCTCCATTAACCAAAAAAAAAATTTTTTGGATAAAATTATGTCAGAAAAAACAGGTTTTATAATTAAAGGCAGAAACATTTTGGTTCTCTTAAATAGAACTGAAGCAATTGCAAAATGAAATTTGCTCTGTGAAGAGACATTTGCACTAACTGGAATGAAAAATGAAATTCGTCCCGACTAAACAGTTCGAACCATATTTTCAAGATCACTCGTAAAAATATGTGCTGTTGAGAGAAATCTTGCATGCTTATCTTCTTTCTGAACTCTAATATATCATCTGACCTAAATAATTAAGAATTTAGAGTTTATTCTCTCCAATCATCGAGATTTTATGCATCTTAGTGTGTAAAAATCCGATCATTTAACCAAAAGTTGCTGAGTTGCTGTGTCATTATAATTTTGAGCACTATATTGTACCGGAAAAAAATTTTACACATGGAATTAACATAACTATATCAAGATTTTTATGTCGAAATTGCTTAGTGCAGAAGATAAAGATATAAAACCTCGATAACTTTTGATCCTATGATCGGATTTTTAAAGGCGCTTTTTCATGCATTTAATGCAATACAACACAATTACTATATCTGACACTTATTTACGTGCATCTCCATTGTTGTTTATAGGCACTACATCGGCTTTCCCAATTAACGAATTCACAGTCCAACATAAGCTTATAGTTGGCGCATCGACGGCAGGGCGATTAATTGTTTGGCTTAAGTATTTCCTAAATCAAAAAAAAATTATTTAATTATTTTATTAGGAAATCATTCAAGCAAATTTTTAAATGCATACATAAACATAGCCCTAACACAATAATAGCTTTGGTGATTCGGGAAAAAACATATGTAGTTTTTTTTTTCTCTTAAATCATACATGTAGTAATATATGGCTTAAGGCAGTGTTTCCCAAAGTGTGGTACGCGTGCCCCCAGGGGTACGGGAACAGTTTAGCTGAGGTACGCGTTCTTATGTGAAATATCTTGCAGCAAGCGAAAATTTTATTTAAAAACAAAGCTAGCCATGAAAATTTAGAATTGCATATTTTTCTATTGGCTATTTTTTGCAGAGTTAACAGTTAATAATTAGTGGTGTTAACGGCCAGTTGTAATTTTTAACTTTTGTGCAATTTGTTTATAGTAAAAAATACATTCATTTTTTTTATTATTGGTACACAGCGTTACGAAAAATTTAGAAAGGGTACACAAAAGTCATAAGTTTGGGAAACACTGGCTTAAGGGAATAAAGTACATCTTGTTACATGAAAAAACTTATGAAAAAAAAGTTTTCTTCTTTTTCTTTGCATTCTACCTAATTAGCTGCTTCCCACAGAATTCCTAAGTAATTCCTAAGTCCCCCATAAAAAAATTTGACTCTAATAATTGTAGATTTACAAAATGCCCTGTAAATGTATAAGTTTTTAGAATGCACATGGAGTTTCAAAGCAATATCTTGGAAGGAAGGAGATAAAAATGTCATCTAAATCTGACAAATTGCAAGAAATGTAAACGGGGCTAACAACATCAAAACCTGTTTAATTGTTGAAGTTCAGATCATAGTTTCAAAGTCATTATCAGTTACACATCCAAGTTAAATCGGATTATATACTGGTTTTTACATTTAAAAAAAAGTTTTCATTAAAGTTAAACGAATGCACATACTTGCAATCAAAATATTTCGATTTGTTATTGGTGAAATGAGCAAGACATTCTATAATGCTATTTTCTTGCAGGAACATTTCGCATTCCTTATATTCCAAAAGACTTATTTCTTTATAAACTTCTCGATCTGGAAACTAAGAGAGAAAAGAATGAATACTTTAAATTAATAATCTTTTTATTACAAAAAATTTTGTTTTTAGACAGAAATTTAAATATTTCGGTTCAAATCTTTTATTAATTATTGGATAACGTTAGGAACTTGAAGGAGGGGCTCTACAGTGTGCAATGAAAATATCAGGATATCGAAAAATAATATAATTTAATTTAATATCATATATTTTTAACAAATACAGTTAAAATAATAATTGTACTGGTGTTTTAAAAATTGCAAAAAAATTATTTACTTCAAATAAAATTAATGAAAAGGATGTCAATGCATCGCTTTTTTTTCATTCTATTTTGCGTTTAGCTAAAGTTTCGTTTCGTCATCTTCTTTTTCCGATATATGTCCAAATATTGAAACCTTTATTAAAAAGGGGTCCAAAGGGTTCTTTGCAAACAATTTTTTGAAACATTATATATGTTATTTTATGACCGGTTTTAATTGACACCCAGTATGAACCGATATTCAAAGTTGATGCCAAAAATAATAAAGCCCACTCTAAATAACAAACACATTTTCTAACTTGGTATGTCATATATTTTGCTTAGAGTTTATTATTCAAAATTTTGTATCTAATGCTTCACCAGGCACAAGATTATTTGACTTCGAAAAAAGCTATTAAGTTAAAACTTTGATTTGACTATAGCATATTTCTTAAATTTATGCTGGCACTTTAATATTGGTATTATGTTTTAGTCAAAGTATGTATTTATGTATAAATTTGCATATTTTTGGGGCAAAATTACTTAATTTTCTTATAAAAATCTAAGAAAAATAAGTTTTTAATTTTTATTTAAAAAATACATATCGTTGTTTTTTTTTTTTTTTTTTNTTCCTCCAGTTGTTTTTTTTTTTTTTTTTTGGTTTTTTGAGCTTGTATGGTTTTGAAAAGAACATTTTTGACTACCGATTAAAGTTGTTTCATGTCACTAACATGATTTTCATAACTAGTCATTAACATGATAGAATGACTTTTCTCGTGTACGAAAGACATCTTAGTATCTTTTTTTTTCTTTCTTAACTCTAAGAAATTCAATGATACAGTTCGTTTTGAGATTTAACAAAAGTCATTGCACTTAAATAATCTCTGTGTGTAGATTAAACTCCTGTACGAAATTCAGAATCCTAAGTTGAATTTTAGTTACGTTACCGAAAGTCAGAAAAATAGCTCAAGGAGGCTTTCTCGATGAAATCGAACTACGTTAATGCGAAATAGAATTTTAAAAAAAAGTCCTATGTTAAAAATTCGGTTTCATCGAGAGAGCCTCCGAGACAAAGACGAAACAAAACTTTAGCTAAACGTAAAATAGAATGAAAAAAATAGCGATGCATTGACATTGTTGACATTAATTTTATTTGAAGTAAATACATTTTTTACAATTTTAAAACACCTGTTCGATTATTATTTCAACTGTATTGTTAAAATATATGATATTAAATTAAATTATATGATTTTTCGATATCCTGATATTTTCATGTGCCCCTCCTTCAAGTTCGCCACGATATCTAATAATTAATAAAAGATTTAAACGAAAATCTCTTCGACTTGTGCTCAAAGAGTTCGAAGTACCGTCGAATACCACACTTTTTAGATTCCAATTTAAACATCGTTTGTACTAATTTTAAGACCGATTCCGAAGGGTATACAATTTAACTATCTATCCAGTTTTTCAAAATTCGCAGATTTAAATTCAAATTTCTTGTAGTTTTTTTCCCTGCAATCATTTGTAAATAAGTCACGTGTTATCTTTTTAAATAGGATTGCCATAATGATGGTTATCCTGCTCTCTTGTCTTCAAACTTAATAAAGCATTTCTATATAACGGATCCCACCACTGCCACCGATCAAAAAATATTAATAAGCTGAGTGCCTGATGAAAATGTACTGAAGAGAAAGTTTTCATAAAAAAAAACCTTTATTTGAAACATCTCAACCACACAAAAAGCAAAGCAGAAAGAGATAGCAATAGCCGAAAAGGGTTTGTATACACATTAAAATACAAAAGCCAATCTCAACAAACAAACAAACTAACTCTACGGTGTTCCAAAAATTATTTCATTCTTTTTATTGTTTTTTTCTTCTTGATCTCATTGTTTATCTCGTAGTACAGTTTTTCAATTCATGCTTGTATTAACTAGATATTTTAAGGACTCTACAGTACATTTGTAAAAATCATTCGTTCTAACAAAATATTTCCATGACTTAATATAGCCCTTTCTGACATTCACATTCATGCACAAAATATAAATATTTACTTACATAATTAGGTTTCAATTCATTTACTTCCTCATAAAGCCATCCATCTGAAACAATCTCTTTGGGTGATTCGTGACATCTGTCACGGAACACTTCCGTTTCGCATATTTTAGTCGCACTTAACCTAAAAATTATTCTATATTGAAAAACTTTTTTCTTCGAAATTTACAGTCAGCTGAAAAATTATCATTGTGGTCACACATTTACTAAAAACGGTGGCAGTAAAATCGAAAGATATTTAAACTAAACTCAGCGGTACGACAGCTGATAAAGGCCTACAGTGCCCATCTCAGTTTTCCTGATCTTGGGCTCTGGGGGTTCCAGGTTTTTGTCCCCAAGCATGCTTGGTACTCGTTTTATCAACCCAATGAAGGGATGAAAGGCAGAACCATCTTTACCCGGTCCAAGGATCGAACCCAGGACCTGTAGCACGAAACCATGAACCTCTCCCACTCAGCCACTGGTTTCGAAAGTTATTTACATCTCAAAGCCAATCATTCATATATATATATATATATATATATATACACTGGTTATCATANCCACGGATGAGGAAAAATAATTGTCGAAATAACGAAATATATCTCCAAGCTTGTTGGACTGGGGTCACTGCATTGGGAGGCGAGCGCTGTGTTCCCTAAGACACCACGGATGAGGAAAAATAATTGTCGAAATAACGAAATATATCTCCAAGCTTGTTGGACTGGGGTCACTGCATTGGGAGGCGAGCGCTGTGTTCCCTAAGACACCACGGATGAGGAAAAATAATTGTCGAAATAACGAAATATATCTCCAAGCTTGTTGGACTGGGGTCACTGCATTGGGAGGCGAGCGCTGTGTTCCCTAAGACACCACGGATGAGGAAAAATAATTGTCGAAATAACGAAATATATCTCCAAGCTTGTTGGACTGGGGTCACTGCATTGGGAGGCGAGCGCTGTGTTCCCTAAGACACCACGGATGAGGAAAAATAATTGTCGAAATAACGAAATATATCTCCAAGCTTGTTGGACTGGGGTCACTGCATTGGGAGGCGAGCGCTGTGTTCCCTAAGACACCACGGATGAGGAAAAATAATTGTCGAAATAACGAAATATATCTCCAAGCTTGTTGGACTGGGGTCACTGCATTGGGAGGCGAGCGCTGTGTTCCCTAAGACACCACGGATGAGGAAAAATAATTGTCGAAATAACGAAATATATCTCCAAGCTTGTTGGACTGGGGTCACTGCATTGGGAGGCGAGCGCTGTGTTCCCTAAGACACCACGGATGAGGAAAAATAATTGTCGAAATAACGAAATATATCTCCAAGCTTGTTGGACTGGGGTCACTGCATTGGGAGGCGAGCGCTGTGTTCCCTAAGACACCACGGATGAGGAAAAATAATTGTCGAAATAACGAAATATATCTCCAAGCTTGTTGGACTGGGGTCACTGCATTGGGAGGCGAGCGCTGTGTTCCCTAAGACACCACGGATGAGGAAAAATAATTGTCGAAATAACGAAATATATCTCCAAGCTTGTTGGACTGGGGTCACTGCATTGGGAGGCGAGCGCTGTGTTCCCTAAGACACCACGGATGAGGAAAAATAATTGTCGAAATAACGAAATATATCTCCAAGCTTGTTGGACTGGGGTCACTGCATTGGGAGGCGAGCGCTGTGTTCCCTAAGACACCACGGATGAGGAAAAATAATTGTCGAAATAACGAAATATATCTCCAAGCTTGTTGGACTGGGGTCACTGCATTGGGAGGCGAGCGCTGTGTTCCCTAAGACACCACGGATGAGGAAAAATAATTGTCGAAATAACGAAATATATCTCCAAGCTTGTTGGACTGGGGTCACTGCATTGGGAGGCGAGCGCTGTGTTCCCTAAGACACCACGGATGAGGAAAAATAATTGTCGAAATAACGAAATATATCTCCAAGCTTGTTGGACTGGGGTCACTGCATTGGGAGGCGAGCGCTGTGTTCCCTAAGACACCACGGATGAGGAAAAATAATTGTCGAAATAACGAAATATATCTCCAAGCTTGTTGGACTGGGGTCACTGCATTGGGAGGCGAGCGCTGTGTTCCCTAAGACACCACGGATGAGGAAAAATAATTGTCGAAATAACGAAATATATCTCCAAGCTTGTTGGACTGGGGTCACTGCATTGGGAGGCGAGCGCTGTGTTCCCTAAGACACCACGGATGAGGAAAAATAATTGTCGAAATAACGAAATATATCTCCAAGCTTGTTGGACTGGGGTCACTGCATTGGGAGGCGAGCGCTGTGTTCCCTAAGACACCACGGATGAGGAAAAATAATTGTCGAAATAACGAAATATATCTCCAAGCTTGTTGGACTGGGGTCACTGCATTGGGAGGCGAGCGCTGTGTTCCCTAAGACACCACGGATGAGGAAAAATAATTGTCGAAATAACGAAATATATCTCCAAGCTTGTTGGACTGGGGTCACTGCATTGGGAGGCGAGCGCTGTGTTCCCTAAGACACCACGGATGAGGAAAAATAATTGTCGAAATAACGAAATATATCTCCAAGCTTGTTGGACTGGGGTCACTGCATTGGGAGGCGAGCGCTGTGTTCCCTAAGACACCACGGATGAGGAAAAATAATTGTCGAAATAACGAAATATATCTCCAAGCTTGTTGGACTGGGGTCACTGCATTGGGAGGCGAGCGCTGTGTTCCCTAAGACACCACGGATGAGGAAAAATAATTGTCGAAATAACGAAATATATCTCCAAGCTTGTTGGACTGGGGTCACTGCATTGGGAGGCGAGCGCTGTGTTCCCTAAGACACCACGGATGAGGAAAAATAATTGTCGAAATAACGAAATATATCTCCAAGCTTGTTGGACTGGGGTCACTGCATTGGGAGGCGAGCGCTGTGTTCCCTAAGACACCACGGATGAGGAAAAATAATTGTCGAAATAACGAAATATATCTCCAAGCTTGTTGGACTGGGGTCACTGCATTGGGAGGCGAGCGCTGTGTTCCCTAAGACACCACGGATGAGGAAAAATAATTGTCGAAATAACGAAATATATCTCCAAGCTTGTTGGACTGGGGTCACTGCATTGGGAGGCGAGCGCTGTGTTCCCTAAGACACCACGGATGAGGAAAAATAATTGTCGAAATAACGAAATATATCTCCAAGCTTGTTGGACTGGGGTCACTGCATTGGGAGGCGAGCGCTGTGTTCCCTAAGACACCACGGATGAGGAAAAATAATTGTCAAAATAACGAAATATATCTCAAAGGTTGTTGAAACATCTAAATCAGATTTTTATATTTAAACGTGTGAATCAGAACAAATGCTAACATTTTTGAATAAATAATGAGTTGAGATAAATTTTAACACTGTTTAATATAACGGCAAGAAATGGAAATGAACAATTTTAGTATTACCCGTTGTAGTTGCATATAGTGAATGCTGGTAGTTCTGTATCAGGATCATTTGTCACTTTCAGGTCAACAACAGTTTCATGCCTCCAGTAAATGTCCATAAACTTCAGTGACTGGTATATGAAACCGCTCAAGCTCACTATAAACACAACACTACGTATTACTTTCTTCGAAAAGGTACCAGCAGTACATATCTCTGGAACTCCGGTAATCAAGGAACCCTTAAGAACATGGAGAAAGAAGTTAGCGAATTGACTTTTCTCCTTTACCTTCATTCTGAAAGAAAACAGTTAAAAAGTTGTAGTACTAAAGGATCAGAAGGACAAAAAAAGAAAACAAAATGTTCTTATGACTTAATTGAACCACACAAATAAATATTTCACAAATTTCCCCAAACTGTGCTGAATTACAACACAATGCTTGAAGAAACCTCATAGCTTACTCGAAACCGTGGAGATTTGCACCAAAAACGCAGCCTTAAGCGATTTAAAAATTTAGCTTATCTTATAAGCCCTTCGATCTTATTGCTTACACGTAAACTATATTTATTTTTTTCCATAAACGCTTTCTTAAACAAGTTGAAAATTCTGTTTATCTTAATATTTTCCAAACCCCTCCTTTTTGATTGCTCGTAAATTATCGTGTTTAACATCAAATGCTCTATTGAACAATGTGAAATTTTGAACTTATAGTTATTAATTAGTTTATCGTTATTGTTAGCTCATCGTTTATTTATTAGTTATATAGCCCCAAGCAATTCATTTTTATTGCTTACTTGAAAAATGTGATATTTTTTAAAATCAAAAAGGGTCTCTTGGACAATTTGAAAGTTCAGCTTGTCTTTATATTGTCCAGGTCTTTTAAAAAAAACTGTTTCACCAAAAAACCTGACTTGAACAATTTGAAAATTCAGCTTCACATTTTGTGAAAGCTCTTAAATCTTTATATTTATTCGGTAGTTAAGGTGTATTTCACCGACAAAAAAGCTTCTTGGATGGTTTGAAAAATTAGTTTATCACTATATAACTATGTTAGTTCAATTTTATTACTAACTCTGAAATTGTGACGTTTAACCTCAAAAACGCACTCATTACGGAAAATTAAAAATATAACTTTTTCTAATATTATCCCAATATAATAGAGAATAATTAAATAATTTGAAGTTTGAAATGATATTGAGAAAGTAATATTATTTGAACTAACTTACTTCCCTTGTTCTCCATTACCGCACATCTTCGCAAAATTTTCAGTGAATAATACACATAAATATAATATAGATGTGAAGATTCAAACTTTTGTTATCAAAAGTAAAAATGAAAAACAAATCAGAAATTTAGTAGCTAAGGCAAATAAATATAATACTGCTGAATAATAAAACCGAGATGAACAAATAGCATTGGTTGACGATCCATTTTTACACATTAAACTTTTTTGTAAATGAAAATCGAATAACTTAACATATGAATTGAATAGGATTCAATCTTCTCAAAGAAACGGAATTTAGAATTTAATTTATGAACCCCAATAATGCTGCTCTTTGAAATGAATAATCTCTGTCAACAATATAATACTAAATTGATCTTACTCACGAAGGCAATGAATACAACAATAACTCCCGCTTTTATATTATACAAGTCTGTTTTTTGCTACTTTTGCTTTTGTCTCTTATCTGTTTACGACATGGGTGACTAACACGCAGCACGCTAAGTTTTTTTTCTTTTTTTTTTTAATTTCAAAAAAATTTATTTAAGAACTTTTTAAAACTTCTTTCGTGAAAAATAACTATAACTTCTCAAGTGATATTCCATTTTAGAAATTTGTACCTCAATGTAATTTTTTAAACTGTTTTTTGGTACAAGTACTTGATTTCGTTAGCATTTACAAGAACTGAAAGTTTTTTTCCACGACGAACTTTCAAAAAATAATATTTCCAACAAGGTTGCGTTAAACGTTTAACGCTATATTTTTATTAGCCGGGAAATCACGTGGTAGGATCCAGTTTTCCCTCATTCATTTCCGTATTGTTTTGGTTCTCACTAGCATAAAAATAATAAAATTATTGGTTTTCTATGAATATTTTTTTAGTTTGATTTGATACACATATAATTTAATAGGGTAGTATTTTATTTTCAAATTTAGTGGATAACAATCGTAAAAAATGAGTGAAAAATGTCCCACAGACAATGTGACGGATTTAAGGTTATGTCAAGGTACGTCTCTTGTGAATATCAATTTATTGTTAGGTTTTCTCTTCTGAAATTACATTATGACGCATTCACATACATTATTAATACAAATACATTTTCCAGGGCGAGACGATGAAGCAACCACAAGAACTTCCATTGGTTCAAGAGGTCCACGAGGGAAAAATGCACAATATTACCGTGATTACAGAGCACGGAAGCGAGCGGAGCAGGAAAAAGAGTCGTTGAATAGAACTATTGATCCTTCTACGACTTCTACGATTAACGTCGCAGGTTGCGAAGTTTAACTTCTTCCGCGCGGAGGGACTCCACGCACTATTTTTTTCCCCCGAAAGTAGCCCTTTTCTTCAAAAGATAGGTTACTGTATGTGTACGACAATAAAATACAACAATTAAAATTTTGCAAAGGTCATTTACATTTTAAATTTAGTTATTAATTAAATATGTTACATATCTACTAAAAACATTAAGAAATTGGATGAAACATTTTAAGTTAAATGAAATATTTATGACCTATCATATAAATGCACCCCTAGTTCAAGCATCCTTTTAAATTCCTAGGAATGACTTTTGTCTCGCTATTGAACAGGAAATAAATTAGAGGTGGATAAAAAATATTTTGTAACTTTGATGAGGGTCTGGACTAATTGTCTTAATTTTGCTTAAATACATCATAGTTTCGTTAAATTGTATAACATATTCTTAGTCTAAACAATTTTGTAGTTTGTAACAAATAATAGCAATGCTTTTGAATCTATCTATATTGGCAATAGTATCAAACTATACGCATGGCGTCTATAAAGTATCAAAACATCCGATTGTTAAGAGTGGCCGAAGACTTGTTATCGAGTTTGATATCATTGAATAAATCGAGTTGTGATCGAGTCTAGTATCATTGAATTAGATTTTTTTATTCGAGATGTATTTGTTGTGATATCTGACAATTTCCATACTTTTTGAACACCCTCGGTACTCCAAAATAAGACATGTGGAATAACAAGTTTCCATAAAAAAAATCAGTACCTCTTTTTGTACAGGGTCGGGGGTTGATCATTCTCTGGTTCAGGTCAAAATTATGATCTGCGGATTGATGAAAGGTGTGTAAACGAGGCCTCCTTTTAAAACGGGTTGTGATGTATAGGTGTGATAAAATCGTAATCTTAGCCATTGGTAGAGTCATTGGAAAACAAAAAGGGGACTACTCTTTCTTAAATTTGCTTGGTTCTACCAAAATAAGCGCCTAATTTGCTGGTATAGGCAAATGTCATTTGAAACAATAACGACGATGTCAAAAAGAGGAATTGTAATAATTATATTTGTAATGTTGAAAACAACACAATGATCACATCAATGATAAGTACAGTTTATACCATTATTTTTTAATTCAGCACAAAAACAAAATACTATATTTTTTAAAATTATGGAACATAAAATCGTTCAAATTAGCTGTAACCTAAACATGGTGCTAAGTTAAACCACATTATTTAACGAAATAACCTTTCTTATACACGATACGATGGTTTATTTAATAATGGTTCAATTTAACATTTCAGTAAGGTTGCTGGTAGTCAGTATTACTGTTCAGTGCTGAATGAATTTTTCGGAAATTATATTTTTTAGTAATAACCATTATTAAAATTAAATTGCTAAGTCTAAAACGATGAGCCACTAGGCATGCCTTATTCATCGCAGCAATGATTTCTCTCATTATTATCGAAGGAAAAAAACATCAAATTATATTTTTAATAGAAGAAATGAAATTCATGACAAAATGCACCTGGTAACTTTAAAGTGAAGGAGGGATAGATAATGAATAGAAGATTTATAGCAAAAACTAATTTAAAAATTTATGGGTGATTCTCACGAAATATGACAATTTACAGTTTCTTGCTCCAAGATCTAATACTATAATCCTAAAAGAACATTTTTTTTAAATTTTAATAAATAGCATTGATGTAAGTATTTTAAAATGACCTTGTACTAGCATTGACTGTTTTGTATATTAAAAAAATTTAATTGAATTCAAAGTGTCATTTTCCTGGTATGTCACAAATAATATTTTCTATAATAACTAGCTTCAAAACTTCCCATAAGTTTTTCAATATCTAATTTTTTTTATCTCAACTGTTGCAAGCATTTCTAGAATGTATGCAGAGGGTATTATTTACAAAAACTTTGTTGAAAATAATTTTTTCTGACAATAATTTGTTTGTCACAAGACAATCTGTCATTTTCCTGGCTACTTTTATTTAGTGATTTATAACCAAAATAAATAGAGCCAGCAATCAATATCTTATGTTAATAGATTGATTAGAATACCATCCTATCTGAACAAGTCTAATTGCCTGAATAAAGAGCCAACTTTCTGGTTCAAAACTTATTTCAAAAATTTTTTCAAGGTGAGTAGGTTTTTATGTTGTCATTTTCCTGTCTTCTTTAAATCATTAATAACATTAACTACATAGATTTACCTGAATTATTTCAAGAAATCCTGTTGTTTTTTGCGGAAAGTAAACATCTTAGGCCGAAATGTTAAATCGAAGTAAAGTTAAGTGCTATATAATGGCACATTCTCATTATCCTGGCTGTCATTTTCCTGGCTTATGAATACCGGGACATTGAAACAATTACAAGGAAATTTTTAAACAGTTGAATGTAAAGAGAGAAAGCAAATATTAACCTAATACCAAGTTTATGTATGATTATAATATGGTTGGATGTAATCAAAGTTATTTATTTGTTTAATGATTGATTATTATACGCAATTTTATTCTGTACATATCAGCAACAAAAACATTTTTGATTCTTTCTACAGTGGATTAACGAATTAATTTAGGCAATTCATGGTCCATCTAACGCAAAGGCTTAAGTTGCGTTACTTACTATTAGCTTAAAATAAGTGTTTTTTTTAAACTTCTAAGCTAATATGTCATTTTCCTGCCATTCAAAATTTGGTGAATTTCTATTTTATATTTTTTCTTGAGCAAATGTCAATAAACTACACTGCTGTCTGCAACATATTAATAAATGTAACTAAATAAATATACAAAAAAGAAAGATTACTTTGAAAACTTAAAATTTGAAGAAATTTTTTGTTCCGAATTGTCATGTTTCCAAAGAATCACCCTTATAATAATGAAAAGAAAAAATATGACTATATTTTGTCCCTAACAACGAGAAAATATATGCCAGTAATGAATTAAATGAACTAAATAAGTCATATATTCTGTTTGTCCGCCATAAGAAAACAATGGGAGTTAATATAGCACAATAGTACAAGTTCCTCAGTTAAAATAGGGGTAACGTATAATCTGAAACAGATCAAGATTCTACACAATGGCATGGCCATGTCACAATAAATTCTATTAAAGTCAGCCATCTTCTTGAGATGGACTGGCAGTTATCAGGTTACACTATTAAAACGAAAAATACAATGCTTTTTCAGATTTAAAAAAAAAAATTAGTTTCTAAACTGTCTATTTAATCGCAATGCAAGGTCTGTCTATGCATTTACGAGTTACGGTGGCATGCGTTTGATAGTTATGGTTATATGCATTAAAATTTTACGATGGCATGCATTCAGAAGTTATGGTTACTTGCATTGAAAGATCGCGATGCCATGCATTTAGAAGTTATGCTAATACGCATTAAAAGGTTAAGATGCCATGCATTCAGAGGTCATGGTTATATGCACTAAAAGATTACGATGCTATGCAATAAAAGATAAAGTTAGAGATATCGCGAGATATGATTACAAATTTCTCTATCTCTGTTAATTGCTTTCTTTCTGATAAGATTCTGCCTTACAGAGAGAAGGAATATAAAAATCAATATTGTGCTCAATAGGCCAATATTGTTGTCGATGTCTCGTAACTTGTTGAATAATTAATGAGTTAATTGTTTCTAAAAACTATTCAAATTTTGTATGAAAAATACCAGCTGTATTAAAGCGCATTGCATTTTATTAACTTCGATTATTACTCTAAATTTATTCATTTCATTTGCGTTTTAATGGCACAACAGTAGGATGGTTATTTGGTTTCACTCAATTAATAATTAAACAATTGCTTTTGAATTGTATTAATGCAATGCAATAAACTGGAGCATCTTTAGAAATTCGTGCATTACTACATTCAATTGTCTTTTTAAATCGATTGATAAGTCACGGATCTCACTACAAAATTTATATAGGCAGTCTTTTTTTTCTGCTGACAACAGAAAG